ATGTCTTTTTTTTTTTTTTGGAATGCAATTATACTACTGTATCATCTATAATATTGTCTTTCTATATTTTGGTGGCATGTGTAGCCGAGGCCTAGGTCTGTGGAATGCATTTTCAAACTCCCAGAATATGGTTTGGAAAATTATGTTCCACATTACTTGGTTTTTCATTTATTCAAAGCCAGTCCTTCCCTATAACAGACTTCTAAAGGCATTGTGGTGCTTCTTATATGTGTGATGATATTGTAGTGACTGGTTCTGATCAAGAGGCCGTGTCTAGAATAAAAAGATTATTGGCCTCAAGTTTTTCACATTAAAGAATTGGGCCATCTCACCTACTTCTTGGGCTTGGGCATAGAGGTTCAGGGTAAATTTGAATTTGTTTTTCTATATCAGCACAAGTATGTTCAAGATTTAATCAATCTAGATGTAATAAAAAATGCAACACCCATAGAAACTCCTATGGAAGTTAATGTCAAGTACAGACGGGATGAAAGTGAACTTATTGCTGATGAGATTCTACATCGCAAGCTCGCGGCAGTCTCATCTGTGACTATCACTCCACCAGATATTTCTTCTGCGGTGCACACATTAGTAAGTTCCTGCAATCTCAACGACATTACCATTTTTCAGCAGTGCAATAGATCATTAAATATCTTCTTGTCACCTCCATATGTGGTTTATTCTAGATCATTAAATATCTTCTTGGCACCTCCATACCTGGTTTATTCTCTCCTGCTACCAAACTCCAAGCATATTGTTATGTTGGATGCCCAAACACAAGATCTACTACTGGCTGGATGCCAGACACAAGATCTGCTACTGGCTCTGGCTGGTGTATCTTAGTCATCTACCGCAGTAGAGTATCACGCTATGTCTACCACTTGTTCTTGAAATAATATCACGCTATGCCCCAACCTGTTGGGAATATACTGGGTATGTTGTTGTTGTTGTTGTTGTTGTTGTGTGGTCTTCTTGGAGTTTCTCACCAACCTACTGAAAACACTAGTGCTTTACAAATTGCCGCCAATCCATGAACAAAACACATTAAGTTTGATTGTCACTCTATATGAGAAGCATATGATGAGAGAATCATCAATCTACCGCATGTCTCCATATCGGTTCAATTTGACATTTTAACATACGCATTACCTCGTCAACGGAATAATTTCCTGATTGGCAAATTGATGCTTCTGGACTTACTAACATCTATTTGAGGGGGATGACATGATAATTAGTGTGGTTAAATAGCAGTTACATTGCATTTAGTGAGTTAAATGTGGTCAAATGGCATTTACATACATGACAACAAAGCGCAGTTTGATGGTAAGACGCTTCACTTATGACCGTTAGGCGTTAGGTAATGGGTTCAAGTCATCGAGGAGGGGAAGTGGGAACACTATTGATCCTCTTTTCTTTTATTTTTTTTATTTAAAAAAAAAAGATGAAATGACATTTACATTGTATATAGTAGGCTGGAGATCAGGCTGTAAATAGTTTAGCATAATTGATGGACTGGCTAGTATTCGTTCCAGTGCACACATACACCTATTGAATGTTTTTTCATTAGAAAAAAAATTATATATTATGAGTATGTATACATATTTAAAATTAAATAATGGATGTATAGGAAATGGCATTTACATTGTATATAGTAGGCTGGAGATCAAGTTGTAAATAGTTTAGCATAATTGATGGACTGACTAGTATTTGTTCATGTTCATGTGCACAGAGAAAAATAAAAATATATATTATGAGTATGTATTAAATAATGGATGTATTACATATATTATGAGTATGTATTAAATAATGAATGTATTACATTTTAAAATTTTTAACTATATGAAAATGTACAATATAAATACAAATTATTTAACTTACGTATGAATCTTATACTGGTGACATAAATTTTAATGGACAATGTAATTTTGTAATTTAGAGGGACTATACAATTAATTAATTAGAAAAGTATTACAATTATTTTTATTATTGTTATCGCAATTGTTTATGTGATTAAGGTCTTTAGTGATGACACTCATGCCAATTAACTAATATTAGAGAAAAATCAGTACGAAAACTAATATTTATTGCAAAATAAGTATCTTAAAGAACAAAAATTGTAATACAATTTTTTATAAGTATGTAACTTTCACATACTATTTAACGTAAATTTATAATTAGTTAGTATTAGTAGTAATTATATAATAAATAAGTTTAAATTTATTTACACTTTATTGCATTAATTGAAAAAAGTGAGCGGGAAACCTATAGAGTTTTTATTAATTAGGTTTTATTTATTGCTTTGCAAACAACTATATATATATAGATTAGGCTGTAATTAAAAAGCTCAAATATCCTTTTTCTTCAAAGATTTACACGCGGTGCCTTTCCTCTCGCCCACAGACGATGAAGAGGTGCACCTCACATAATCTGTCCAGTTTCTTAAGTTGTGCCAGAAAAATGAGAGACGGGGAGGATAGGGTTAGGTTTATGGATGTGAAGATTTTCCAGAGATTGATGATGAGCTTGAAAGGTAATGAGCTTGAAAGGTTACCTGTAGATGCCAAAGAGGCCCATGAATCGCATTTCGGGATATCTTTCCATGGTGGTTCGAATTTTTGTGTTTTTTCGTAATTATTGATCTTTTTCAACACACTACAGTGGATGTAAGGTGCGAAGAGTAAGAACATCGAGGGAGATACTTATTGGTCTTTATGTAGTTTTTCCAGATTTTAAGATTGGGCATTTGGGCCTTGGCTGGTTTTCTATTTTTCTTTTAGTTATACAAGTGGAGGAGCGCGTGTCGATACTTTGTTATCATAAAGTACCACTGAGTTTGAAAGGCAAGTTCTATCGAACGGCCATTCGACTGACAATGCTTATGGAATCGAGTGTTGGGCTACTAAATATGAAAATGATAGAAAATGCGAGTGGCAGAGATGAAAATGTTGAGATGGATGTGTGTGCATATTAGGTTAGATAAGATTAGAAATAAAGTTGGAGTAGCGCCCATAGAGGAGAAAATGCGAGAATCACGATTAAGATGGTTTGGGCATGTGCGTTAGAGAGACTTCAAGGCCCCGGTGAGAAGGGTAGAAACATTCGAATTGAAAAAGGAAATTAAAAAGGGGAGGGGTAGACCTAAGAAAACTCGGAAGGAAACAATAAAAAAATAATTTAAAATATTTAAATTTGAATGACGATATGTGTTTTGTTCGAGTGGCGACATGCAAACCATATAGTCGACTCCACTTAGTGTGATTTTAACGGCTTCTTCTTGTTGTTGTATTATAGTTTTTGTTACCATTTTCTTTTTCTGTTTGTCTTTTTTATTTTTAGTTTTTGTTTTTTTATTGTTTATCTTAATTTATTGTAATTTTTTCTGTCTCTATTTTCTAGTTTTTGCCTATTATTTTAGTTTATTTTAATTTTTGTTTTTTCTGTTATGTTTTTTTTGTTCTAGTTTCATTTTGTGATTTTGTTTCTACTGTTATATTTCTCAGGATATTTAAGGTTGATTTTGTCATTTGAACTTTAATTGCTCCATCTGTATTATTTTTTATAAACCTTGGTGTTTGGTATTGGTGAGTCCTTGCCTCGCCTCTCCCCTCGTGGCCATTCCATGGTCAGATAGCCTTGGGTCGCCATTTGTCCTTTAACACTGTGGTCAGGGCCATGTCTCATGTCAAAGTCATGGTTTCTCTTTTTTTGTATGTTTCAGATCAAACTCTCTCGACTGTAAGGTTCTCATGAAAATGAGCTGGTATCTGAAATCTTTTGTCGAGTGTAAGAGTTCGCTTATGCCTTTTGTTGCTGACTGATATTGGAAGTTCACTTATATCATGCAATGGCCAATATTTAATCCAATAAGACTTCAACTGGATGCCTGATTCATGGTGTTGATGCTTTTCGTTTTCTCCAACTTATATTGATTCCGATTATTTTGTCTGATAGTTTTTTGTTCTTTATTATTAATTTTTTTTTCCTGCTATTATGAAATTTCACTTAAAACAACTTCAGTTAATGGACTTTATTTCTTGTTTTTAACTGATTTACTAAACATTTTCTGGTTCTCCTTGATTTGCCTTGTTCCAGACTCAGCTATGGCATCTCGCACAAAGAACAACGGCTCTTCCATTTGGCCGTGGGGCATTTACGCTGGGTACTACCTGTACTCTCTTAACCGAGGTGTTTCTATAATCTTTTGGCATCTAATGTGTCTCTTAGCATGTTAGATAGTAGTAAGATTCTAACTACTCTTTTTCAGGCACTTGCTGTTCCAAAACTTGTTTTGGCTGGTCGTTTGCCTGCACAACAAAATGCAACAGTATGCCTTGTTGAGAGTCGAGGTTCATTGTGAGTTCATACTATTTGTTACGTCATAATTGTACAAGAATATGAACTATTGTGCAGGTTAATCTGGATCCAAACATTAGAAATATTCAAGAACTTAAATCTTGGCCCGAATTCCACAATGCTGTTGCTTCTGGCTTGAGACTATCTCCTCTCCAGGTCTTTACGTGAACGAAACTTTAGTTAAACACGTTTATATTTGTTCTCTTTTTATAAACTTTTGTTGTAAAATACTTGCAGAATCACGTCATTTCATTACTACATGATGATCTATTTAATCTCAGTATCTATATTTTTGTATTATATGAACTTGCACGAGAGCTGCTGTTCATGGAATTCGTATTATGCTTTGTGTACTGTTCTGCAGGGGAAAATGTCAAGAACATGGATTCTTTACAACAAACCAGATGAGCCTAATGTTACTCATGCAGGGCTGCTTCTTGCTTTGGGTTTGCATGGGCATCTTCGTGTCCTAACCATTACCGATATTTTCCAGTATTATTCACAGGTTGATATTTTCATTTTTAACATTTTGTTACCTCATGCTTGTTAGTCGCATTGCACTCCCACTCACCCGTCTACCTAGCTTTTCCTGATTGTACCATATTTTTCATTCACAAGAGTTGCAACTTGCAAATTGTGTGTGTGTATATAAATATATATTTCTACTTGATATCAATATTACTTATGAACAACATAAATATGTAAGGTTTAATTGTAAGAAAAATCACGACTTTTTCACAAAATCATGACCCTTTTGAAAAAGTTTTGTTTAATCTGCAATTTATGAAAAGGCAATGATTTTTCGTGCAACTAGGCCTATATGTAACCAGTAGACTTGTTTTTCTTCTTTTGTCGATTGGGTGATGTTTGGTTTTCCTAATCATTGTTTCATAATTTAAGCAACACGATACATGCTTTACAGTATTTTACTAGAACAGATGATTCTATAAAAGAAACCTTTAGATTCGAGAAATACGAATTTGCTAATAACAAGATGCTGCTGCGAATAAAAAGAGGTTTCCTAGTGGCACATAATTAGGCACGCTTTCTGTCTATATTTGCTATCAAGGGGTTATTAAATTCAATAATATTTGAGTCTGGAGATTTGCGTGTTTTGATACTGCAAGAGGGTACACTTCCTTGAAACGTTACTTTGGGAATTTGTCCATATCTGTCATTAATGTACAAGTTGTGAAATTTGTTGCATATTGAATAATTTTGTCACTCGACGGGAGATATGCATATTTGTTTCTGTAGTTGTTGGGAAGCATATCACACAGGCTTTCATGTCTAACAAAAATTAAAAAAATGCATTTCATCACAGCTTTGTTAAAATTTACTGGTATTAAATGCAGCAACTTGAGATTGATATCTAATTGTTGTCTACCCATTTCACCTTTTATGCTGTTACTTTATTGTGTTGTGTTTGTATGCCCTTCTGCAGGAACATGAAAGCACCACAGTAGGATTGATGATTGGCCTTGCAGCTTCACATAGAGGCACCATGCAGCCATCAATTTCGAAGGTATTATGCATAAATATCTGGCAATCTTGTTCTCAGCATCTCAATATTCATTCTTTCTGGGATATATATTTTTTCAATGAAATTTGTCATAATTTAATGTTAGCAATTTTCATTGATATGTACAATAATAAATAGCTTAAGTAGTGAGATAACAGAATATATTTAAAAATGTGAAATTGCAATTGAAATATACCTAAATTGAACGCTAATTTAAAAAATGAAATTGAATATTTGGAAAAATTCAAGATCAGAGTTGCTAAGAGAAACTCGTGCTTTACACTGCTTCATTTTTTGGATATTCTTTTCTTAAATTAGGCCCATTCAATAAATCGGAAGCCTAGAAAGTTCAAAATTACAAAGGCACAAAGGTTGTTGCAGCAAATATTTTGCCTTGTATTTTTTCTTAGAATGTTCAATATGAAGTTGAATCTTTTGGGTCTTGTAAATTTTGTATCATGGTGGTTGCTTCCGTTATAACTATGTTTCAGTTTCTGTTTCATTCTACATTTTATATATAACTTACATGGCAGCATATTGTAAACCAATTTTTTATATTACCATTATCATTGTTAGAGCATCTACAATTGAATGGAATACCATACAGAATAATGGATGTAATAGAAGCATTAAGTCTGACACAAGTAAACGGTCATTGACAAGATAGATATTTTTCTATTTGAAGTTCTGGACCGTTAGGTTGCCATGTGTATCATTGCAACTATGGTTAAAGTAACAAATCAGCTTTGGCTGCTTAATTTGATTAATTGGTGAGACAATAACAAAAGCTGTACGGTTAATCATTCTAAATTTGCAAGTCTTGTTTGTATTTTTCTTACAATTTAATGATGCATGCTTGTGAATTGAGCAGTCTCTATACGTACATTTGCCTTCCCGCCATCCATCTTCCTTTCCAGAACTAGAACTGCCAACTCTTGTACAGGTATATTACCAAAGATTTTGTGGGTGATTTGAATTATTGGATTACATCTATAACTAGATTGTTTCCTTGGCTGCATTGTTCATGCATATATCAATTTCCATTATGCAATCCTTTGACAGCATGAAATGTCATTTTACACGTGTATTTTTTTTTTTTTGGTACAAAGAAAGAGGCTAGCACCTAAGTACCGGAAATCGGTACATGTCGAGGGTACTAGACTCCGACAATATCGTGGTTTAACCATTCCCGAACCTCATCTTTCACCTTTTCAAGCTTCATGCTTGTTTCTTGTTTCCATAATCTGATCTTTTTATGTGTGCTTACAGAACTCTTTCGAGTTCCATGGGTTATATAACTACTGTGGCACCGGTCATGTTGCAAGAAAAAATTTTTTATGTCTACTTGTGGATTACAAATATTATGGTTGGTTTCAGTGTGTTTCTAATTGAGGAACTTTGACACACAATTTGTGATTCTCCAGTCAGCAGCACTTATATCAGTTGGGCTTCTTTACGAGGGATCAGCGCACCCACAAACAATGAAAATTCTTCTGGTAATTTTATGATTCGATATGAATTTATATGCCTCAAGTTGATGTTTACATAGTTTTTGTTTATTATTTATTTTATTCATTTACTTCACAGTTCTTGCCTGTTATTTTAGGTACTACTCTGCCTGCTTTTAAACAAGTGTCATGGCTTTATGTTGCACTTCTTGTGTTTTTGAATAGAGAATGAAAATGAAAATTATGTATTGGTAGACGAACTACCAATGGGTGGAGATAAAAATTACTCCTTTAAGGCTGAATTGTGTAAGCGGATATGGCCACCTGGATGCAATTGATTTGTTAGCATTGTTTTCATGATATTTTATCCAAAAATCTAGTTTAGGAGGGATTATAGCTTCAGAAGATAGGGAGATCGAAATGTATAAAAACTTCAATACTGAAAATAATGTTGGAGACTAATGATGTTTGAGACTTCAGTGTCTATATTTGCCTCTATATATTTCGTCTTATTTAGACGGATTAGAATCTCTCTGTATGTTAGTAAGCTGGTTTTATATTAGGCACCTATAATCTAGTCAGTATTAACTCCTAATACAGATATGGACGTTTCTTCTTGCTGTATGTTTGGAAATTGCTTCTGCCTTTTGTCTTTTACAGATCATATCTAAACTTGGAATGGCTGTGAAAGCAGAGCCTTCCTTCCTTCCTTTGGGGGGTGGGGTGGGGATTTGTGTTTTTATTACAAAGGAATCACCTCGTTATTTTATGTTGGTGGAATTTTGTCCCCTTGATAAAATGTCTGTATGAGTATGATATTTGTTCTTCAGCCTGAACCTTTCTTTTGGTCGGATTCAAGCCTGGTGGCTCTGCAACGGTAAAGTTACTGGTTTGTTGTGTTGTTTTGCGTTGTTTATTGTGCAGGGCCATTTGCAGTTCTGACTAGTTATTAATCCAAAACTTCTTCTTTAACAAACATTTATTTTCTAGACTGAAATAGGACGGAGAAGTGGAGGAGATAACGTACTTGAAAGGGAGGGGTACTCAGTTGCAGCAGGATTTTCACTAGGGCTTGTTGCGTTGGGTATGGTTTATTGAATATTCCATTTTAGGTAATTTTGTGTTTTGGCTAACACCCTTCCACTTTGTTACTTAAGGTCGTGGTGAAGATGCTATTGGCTCCACGGGCACCCTCGTGGATCGCTTGTTCCACTACATTAATGGCAAGGAACTCAATAATGTATGTTATGCAGTTTTTGAATTAAAAGTTTCTGCAAACTGTTATTTTTTATTCACGTAAAATTGGTCTTGAAACTATCTTGCTTACCATAATACACTGTTGCAGGATAGCCTCCATCTTTTCTCATCATCAGCTGATGAGCACAGTCGAAATGCTGGACAGGTTGTACTTTGTTTAGTCCTATGCGAAGGGGTTTAGTATGTGGTGTCTGCTCACAGTTTCCCGACTATCACCATTTTTTGTTTTTCTAGATTATTGATGGGAATGTACTGAACATTGACGTTACTGCACCAGGGGCCGTAATTGCTCTGGCATTGATGTATTTGAAGGTAACTTATACCCTGACTTCTTTGACGGTATTTGTAACATCAGAATTCTATGTGAATACATAAACTTCATGTTCTATGTGAAGGTAATTTGAATGCATTTGAATTTTTAAGAATATTGCAGGTACAATCTCTAATTAGGACCCCCTGATTCCCTGATTTGAATTCGACTGATGTTTACTTGGGGTTAAAAATAAAATTAGACAAAGATATTGATTAAGAATATATACGAAATATACATGTCTATTTTATTATTCTTTGCCACTTAGTATTGCTTGTTTTTTTATATATTTCCTTGTGTATGTTAAAAGAGTTATTTTGGTTTAATATGTGGTACACTAATAGTTGTTGAGGAACATGTCAATTATATTATTTTATACCAACAATATTACACGTTTTTATATTGGTATCATTTTTCTCCTTATATTATATATGCTAAAAGAGTTACTTTGGTTTAATGTGTGCACACAGACGGAATCTGAGATGGTAGTATCTCGGCTGTCTATCCCCCAAACTCAGTTTCAGTTGCAGTACGTGAGGCCTGATTTTATAGTGCTCCGTGTAATTGCTCGGAATTTGATAATGTGGAGCAGGTATCTGCTTTTAAGGTGGTATTGAAATGAGGTGATAAAACGCTAGTGTTATTTTTTGGTTGATGCAAGTTTTATTGCTCAGAATTCATCCATCAGAAGACTGGATCAAGTCACAGATACCTGAAGTTGTTAGAAGTGGCGTAAAGGGCCTTGGAGATGAGATTGATGATATATATGAGATGGATGCTGAAGCCTTCGTTCAAGCATATGCAAATATAGTGGTTGGAGCATGCATTTCTCTAGGTAAGCGTTATGCCAATATAGTGGTTGGAGCATGCATTTCTTTAGGTAAGTCATTCTCATTACTGAATAGAGACATAAATTGATTTGTTTTTTTGATTTATGTTCTGTTAAGCTTCAGATTTGACATCCTTTTGACTGTTCTATTGTCTATTCGAAATATGTGGTGTCTTGTTATTATAAACTGTAGTATGTCCGGCAGAGATGTTAAATGAGTCATTTCCATAGGGCATGTCTGCCATCGCACTGGACAAAGATGTTAAATGAGTGATTCCCATAGGTTTGTCTATTTAGACTCCAAAAATAGTAGTGTTGGATCATTCATTTTCCACCTCTTTCAAAACTGTTTTTTTTTTTTTCTTT